GGCAGGCCTGAATGTTTTCTTTTGTTTTTTTTAATTTTTTCTACCAAATTTTTTTTAGTTTCTACTAAAAAAGACACTGGGCCTCAGGCGGACCGTGCTTTTGGCTGAGCCTTGAGTTGTCCTTAAGTGGGCCAATGGGCTGACCTCGGGGTAGGCCAGACTGGTCGGGTTGGACTTTAAAATGAAAGCCTAGGCCCAGGGTCTCGGTTGGGCTCGGGAACGGGCCTAAACAGGTTGGGCCCACTCCATGCTGCGGGTGGGTTTTGGGTTGCCCACAGGTCGGACAGAGCTTTAATAAAAATAATAAAGAAAGGAATTTCCTTCATTAAAACAATGTCATTTTGGTGAAGTCAAATCTCAGCCATCCATGCCAAAAGTGGGACAGACGGCGCTTCCTTTAATGATTAGTGTGGAGTGATTGTAAAGTTAAGGATTGAACTTAAATGTCTTTTATATGAACCATCAACAAATTAACAGTTTGTATAAGAAACACAAGGCCTACCTAAATCTTCCATATACAAAAATATCATGCTTAAATAGAAAAAGCAAAAAGGGAGTAAGAAATCATTAAATAGAAAGAGAGATAAATTGAGGAGAAAAACATTATTAACAGAAACAATAGTCGATATCCAGACAAGAATGTTCTTTTCAAAAACTCTAATAGCGAAACCACCTACTTATTAAACACAATGAGATTTAATCAAAGGATTCATGGTTAGCTTAAATACCTAATTATGAATCATGGGTGGTTGAATTTTGAATAAGGGAAGAGAGCAGTTTTGGGGGAGACAAAGAGAGACTTGAATGAGTTACAGAAGCTTAGGGAAGTTTGAGACCAACTCCACCACAGTATATTATTCCTAGGGATTTTGAACCCGATCCAAGAAAAGCATTTTTGGTTCTCTCTCTCTCTCTGAATGGTGTAAATTTCGTCCAGCCCGGCCCATGTCGAGCCTCGCGGGCTCCTGCCAAAATTCGAACCGGGTTGGGCTGGCCTATGTGCTAGAAAATTAGGCCCAGACTCAAGGGTATTCAGGCCTTAGGTCGAGTCGATGGGCCTGGGCTCGGGCTTGGGCCGAGCTTGGACGGGCTTGAATATTTTTTTTCCATCAAAATTTATTATTTTCTACTAAAAAAGACACTGGGTCTCGGATGGGCCAGACTTTAGACTGGGCTTTAAGCGGGTCGATAGGCTGGACCACCGGCCGAGCCAATGCAGGTCAGGGCCAGGCTTTTAAATGATGGCCCAGGCCCAGGCCCTAGGTTTCAGGTTGGGCTTGGGCCCGGGCCCAAACTGGGCTAAACAGGCTGGGCCTACCCCGGGACGCTTGTCACGACCCGCTCTCCATATCCAAGGATTAAGTATTGTGATGACCAGTAACTGAAGTTACCTCCGGCCAATTCTTGAACAAATAAATAAACGTGAGCGAAAATAATATTTAAATGAGGGTACCAAAATAATCATCGGAGCTTCTATTTTTATTACAAAATTTATTGACCAAAAATGCCGATATTTACATATAAAAATATCATAAAAGTGTTGTGTGTGTCTATTCCGCAGCCTCGCATCTAAGACCTTCCAAAAGCTATTTCTGAATTGCATTGGTTCCTGAAAATTGGTAAACAGCTATAAACACATGGCAGAGTGAGAAATATTATGCCAAGAGTATAAGGGACACAAAATAACCATAGATAGTTATGTAACTAAAATATTTAAGATAACTTAGTATGAACAAATAACCATATAAGTGGCAAAACTGGGATTATGTACATAAATAACCATAACCACGGTACAGAACAGATGCATGGACTCAAGAGGTAACTTGTACAAACTCTAGTGGTGGCTCCCACAATAGTGTAGCACTTAGCTCCGTACAATACTTTGCTCCATACTAGAAATTCAGAGGGTCAATGGATCCATGACAACAAAGGGCCACAAAGTGACCAAACAGAGACTAATGGTTATTTAAGGCCCCCAAGGCGTGGGACTCCATGATGGTACTTACAAAACATAATTGTTTATAAGGTTATTGTCAAATATTCTTTAAAAGTTAAACAAACATATCCACGTGTTTCATTTTAAATAAATAGAGTTCAGAAATTAATCCACCTAACTGAAAATATTTATAAAATATAACTTATATTAATACAACTAATAAAATACAATTTGTATAAAATAAATTATGATAAGTCAAAATATACGTAAAATATATTATGGTAATTCAAGATATAATATAATTCATCTTAATACTGACCCTTACTATTTTCTTCTTATTTTTACTATTTTCTCACGGATGTTCCTTCGTTCTCCTTTTCTTCTCTATTTCCTTTTCTTTTCTCCTTCTCTCTTTCTTCCTTTTCTTTCCCACAGAGTGATCAACTCATCCCTATTTATAAGGAGGTAAAGCATCATCCGGCCAACACGTGGCAGCTCGAAAATTTGCTCATAACTCACAAGATTTATACTTATCTTAATAAATATTTAAGATAATTACATTTTGACCCAATTTTCTAATATAATTATATAAATAAATTAATCCCTAATTAAATTACACTCTATCGTATACTAACAGAAAATTAATTATTTATTTTACTACCACATCCATTATTATTATTATTATTATCAACATTATTATTTATTTACTTACTTTTATATTTATTTATTTACTATCTTTAACTTTAATTTGGCCCAACTAATATTATAATTCCATATTTTTGTTAATTTGGCCAAAAATAGTAATCTCTAATTAATCTCATATTTGATAATCCAATGCCAAATTAGATTCCATATTTATTATTATTTATTTAATAATATATTATCACATACAACCATAATATTAGTATAAAATTTAATGGACAACTTAAATTTTTGGGTTGTTACAACGTTGACGGGTTTCGGGCCGCCCACGGGCCGGGCCAGGTTTTAATAAAAAAATAAAATATAATAAAAATTAAAATGACATCGTTTTAGTGAAGGCAAATAATCAAATCTCAACCATCCACGTTGAAAGTGGGACTGGCGGCGCTTCCTTCAATGATTAGTGTGGACTAATCGTGGAGTCAAGTGAGAAAGAAGCGCCGCTTATCCCACTTTTCGGCGTGGATGGTTGAGATTTGACTATTTACGGTTACCAAAATGACGTCGTTTTAATGAAGGAAATTCCTTTTTTTATTTTTTTATTAAAGCCTGGACCGGTTCGTTGACGACCTGAAACTTGTTTGCAGCCCACGGTGGGCCTGACCCGTTTAGGCCCTGGCTTGAGCCCAGCCGAGACCCTGAGCCTAGGCTTGGGCTATCATTTTAAAGCTCGGCCTGGTCCGCGCCGATGTCCAGTGTCTATTTTAGTGGAAAATAATAAAATTTTGATAGAAAAAATTTAAAAAAATATTTAGGCCCTCCAAGCTTGAGCTCAGGCCCATCGGTCTACCCAAGCCCTAAATACTTCTAGGTCTGGGCCTAATTTTTTGCCTCATGGGCCAGCCTGGCTTGGCCTGATCCGAATTTTGACGCAAGCCCGCAAGATTCAACATGAGCCAAACTGGGCCAAATTTATACCCTTCAGAGAGAGAGAGAGAGAGAGAGAACCAAAAATGCTTTTCTTGAGTTAGGTTCAAAATCTCTAGGAATAGTATAGTGTGGTGAAGGTGGTCTCAAACACTCCCAAGCTTCTACAACTCATTCTCTCTCTCTCTCTCTCTTTCTCTTTCTCTTTTTCTCTCGCTCTCTCCCCCCCTAAAAAAAACCGTTATCTTCCCCTGTTCAAAATTTAACCACCCATAATTCATAATTAAGTATTTAAGCCTGAATCCTTTGATTAAGGGGTTGTTTGGGATGACCTAAATAAGTGTACTTTTTTGTCTTTTTACGAAAAGATGTGCAGAAAAGTAGAGAGGTGATGCGATGGAAAAAAGATAAAAAGATAAAAAGTGTGTACTTATTTTGGGTAGCCAAACTTGGCCTAAGTCTCATTGTATTTTATAAGTAGGTGATTTCGCTATTAGGGTTTCTGAAGAGAATCTTCTTGTCTGGATATCGACTATTGTTTCTGTTAAGGGAGCTGTTAAATTGTGCACCTCATTAAATAGTGCACATCATGTACATATTTATTTTAAGGGTGTGGCTTCTGTCCAGTCCGAGATCAGACTGGACCGTGCTGTTGGGTCCGTAGGGGCCCACCACGGGTCCCGTTTTGATAATCTGAACCGTTTAATGTGTAGAACTCGTTTGACATGTTTGATTGGATTGATTAGAATATGAGATTAGGATTATTAATCTGTGGGCCCAATTATCCTATGTTTGTTTTAACATTTTGGTTTAGGATTATTAATCCAATGGATAATTAATCCAACAAATTTGTAGGATTATTAGTAATGGGGTAGGGGTGGGATTATTAATCCAATGGATATTAATCCAATTGGATAGTGAATACCACACTAATTTAATAAGATTATTAATACTTCACTATTAATTTTATGAATCAAACATGACCGTTGAGTACTATATGCCTGTAAAAAATCACGTTGATTGGATATCGATAGCTATATGATCAAATCAGTTTCGTATTAAAAAAATTGGACGGTGAACAAATTCATGGTTGACAAAAAACTGTTTTGATCACATAACTATCGATATCCGATCAGCGTGATTTTTTATAGGCATATAGTACTTGACGATTTTTACATATTGAACGGTTCAGATTATTAAAACGGGACCCGTGATGGATCCCCACGGGCCCAACAGCATAGTCCAGCCCGATCCCGAACTGGACAGAAGCCATACCCTTATTTTAAACCATTAGATATTTATAAATTGTTATAAATTTGGTGATACTGCATGCACAAATTAATATACTAACTAATATATCAATACTAATTATAATATTATTATTAATCTTACTTATTAATCACTTTAAAAATCTAAAAAATCTCTTAAATTATGCATGATCATATACACGAATTAATACACTTAATTAGTACACAAAACATTATTCTTACCGATTGTTGGATGTTACACAAACCCTCGTCACTTTGTTTTCCCAGAACCCCTTATTTTTCAGACGACTCCGAAGCTCCTATTCGCCCTCTTCAGACACGACTCCGGAGCTCTCTTCAGAGACGACTACAAAGCTCCTCTTCGCCCTCTTCAGACACGACTCCGGAGCTCTCTTCAGACAGGACTCCGTAGCTATTCTTCGCCCTCGAAGACTAACCCGCGAACACAACGTGCCCTCGACTTCGCCTCAAGGTATGTCTCTCTCTCTCTCTGTGCAACTTGTTTCTCTCCCTTTCTCCATCTCCATTCTATGAAACCCTAGACTGAAATCCCCTTCTTCGAAACTGCCCCTTTCACCTTTGTGAACTCAGCAGGTTGGTTTATAAAATTAGGAAAATATGATTTGAATAGGTTTAGGTTTTTTATGTTTGTTTGCTTTGATAGTTGTTTTGATTCCACACATATATATATATACATATACTTGAAATTTGGTTTGAGTGTGTGAAATCTGATGCGTGGGTAATTGAATTTTGTAATCATGTAACTGATATGAGACTGTACTTTTTTATTTGTTTATTGAAATCTGTTTATGTTTCTAACAATTACTCTTGTGGTGGCTTTTTTTCCTATGAGAAAGAAAATTACAGTGGTTTGGGATGCATTACCTTTAGCAATTTTCTGGGAATTGTGGAAAGTGAGAAATGAATGGATATTTTGATGCATTACCTTTAGCAATTTTCTAGTTATGTGTGAACAGTTTGAGCTTATTTTCCTAGATAAGCATCCCATGTTTTGAACTTGATTGCTCAATAATTCAAGCTTGTGTGAGGACATGCTTGATTAGGCGTGTAGGTATTTTAGGCATGCTGCTGATGTTAATCTATGTATCAATAGCCAATGATATATAGAGACTTATAAAAAGGATTGATTAAACCATGGGGGTATTATGCAGATAATTATTGATCTTATAGTACTTGATGTACTTAAAAGTAAGGTTGATCAGTGCCTCCCCCCCCCCATTATTGTACTTCTTTGTTTGGGTAACTGGTATATGCTCTGCTTCTCACTCCATAAATCGTTTTTCACTTTGATGATTGTGATATGTATCTATGTAAGTATTGTGACCTAGGTAGGACAAACACTTAAAATGGATGAGCGTTGTCCATGTCAAACACGTGGGAAACTGACACTTCTTGGACAATCACAGACACATCAAAGCTTCCTAGGTGTGTGCATGGTTTGGAAATATATTTCAAGGACCCTTGGTGGAAACTTAGAAGTAGCAGTGTCCGGCACTCTTAGAAATCAGATGACCATCTGTAGCATCCAACCTTTACTTTTTAGTTTTTAGAAATAAGAGAGACGAAGAAGAAGGAAACGCTATGTGGTATATATATATATGCGCTATGATTGATCTAGCATTGAACACAACCATTTTTACTGTTGTAAAGAATGCAAGGCTGAAGGAAAGAGAAATGCAAAAAAAATGTAGTTATGTATATGATTTTGTCTAGTTACATCTTTCACATGAAGCAATTCTTTATTCAGACATGCAAGAATTTATCAAAATTATGTATGATATTATATACTTGCCAAGGAGTAGTACAGTGTGGTGGAGTTGGTCTCGAACTTCCCCACCATTTGCATCATCTTCAAGCTTCTGCAACTCATTTAGGTCTCTCTCTCTCTCTCTCTCTCTCTCTCACTCTCACCCAAAAACCCCTCTCTTCCCCTGTTCAAAATTCAACCACCCATGATTCATAATTAGGTATTTAAACCAGCCATGAATCCTTTGATTAAATCTCATTGTGTTTAATAGGTAGGTTGTCTGGGTATCCAGCATTGTTTCTGTTAATAATGTTTTTCCCTTTAATTTATCTCTCTTTCTATTTAATGATTTCTCACTCCCTTTTTGCTTTTTCTATCTAAGCATGATATTTTTGTGTATGGAAGATTTGGGTAGGCCTTGTGTTTCTTATACAAATTGTTAATTTGTTGATGGTTCATATCAAGGACCCTTGGTGGAAACTTAGAAGTAGCAGTGTCCGGCACTCTTAGGAATCAGATGACCATCTGTAGCATCCAACCTTTACTTTTTAGTTTTTAGAAATAAGAGAGACGAAGAAGAAAGAAACGTTATGTGGTATATATATATGCGCTATGATTGATCTAGCATTGAACATAACCATTTTTACTGTTGTAAAGAATGCAAGGCTGAAGGAAAGAGAAATGCAAAAAAAATATAGTTATGTATATGATTTTGTCTAGTTACATCTTTCACATGATGCAATTCTTTATTCAGACATGCAAGAATTTATCAAAATTATGTATGATATTTTATACTTGCCAAGGAATAGTACAGTGTGGTGGAGTTGGTCTCGAACTTCCCTGCCATTTGCATCATCTTCAAGCTTCTGCAACTCATTTAGGTCTCTCTCTCTCTCTCTCACCCAAAAACCCCTCTCTTCCCCTGTTCAAAATTCAACCACCCATGATTCATAATTAGGTATTTAAACCAGCCATGAATCCTTTGATTAAATCTCATTGTGTTTAATAGGTAGGTTGTCTGGGTATCCAGCATTGTTTCTGTTAATAATGTTTTTCCCTTTAATTTATCTCTCTTTCTATTTAATGATTTCTCACTCCCTTTTTGCTTTTTCTATCTAAGCATGATATTTTTGTGTATGGAAGATTTGGGTAGGCCTTGTGTTTCTTATACAAATTGTTAATTTGTTGATGGTTCATATAAAAGGCCATTTAAGTTCAATCCTTGACTCCACGATCACTCCACACTAATCATTGAAGGAAGTGTTGCCTGATGCTTGTATAATGCTTAGTATTACTCTTCAATAGGTGTAAGAGGAATGGGTGAAACTGTTAATCCAGTGATGCATGTCATGGATGGAGACTTCATGGGTTGCAATGGGTGAAACTGTTATTCTAAACTTTATTGCCCAGAATGCAAATTTGTGATTAAAATGATGATCATTGAAGTTCTTGTGTCAAAGATAAAAAACAGTTTTACTGCCATGTCCGCAGCTATGTTTGTCATGCCATGCAAAATGTAGCATTTTTTTTTTTAAATTTTATTTTATGTATATAGCATTCTTCTTTTGAAAATTGGTTAAATTAGTTTGAATGGCTAGCGAAAGTGAAGAATCTTGTTTGAGTACACACTATATGCAAAATAGAGTGTTTATACTTTAGCTTGGCAAAATGGGTACCTATTAGTGTTGGAGTAAGAGATCTGCACTCCTCCTCCTCCTCCTAGGGTCTCTCTCTTTGCCCTTATCTTGGTATTTCTTTTATTTTATAATGATTGTTTAAACTTACTATTCACAACAATAAGTGTAGTAAATTTTTTTTGATTAATTTCTAGTCAATGTGTGATTTGTTTGATAATAGTGGACCTTGTAGTTTTAGGGTTTATTAATTTTTCCAATTAATCTGGGTATTTTGGGTTTGATGTTGTTGAGGTTGTATTTATGGACCCTTATGTGCCTAAATTGTGGAATATTTGGACTAATGCTTTTAATGTTTTTAGATATAGAGATATACATGCTCACTTATTTATGTATCTACAAGTGTTATGGATATGAATATGCTCACTTAAAATTGTTGAGTTTATGATTGTATTAAATTAGTACTTGTATAATTCATGAGGACTGGCGTTTTGGTTAATCCTTCTATATGGGGATTTAAAATTTAAAGAACTACAGCGATGGAGAAGCAGATCTTGATTTTGTAAAATAGATTCTTGTATTATTAGACTTGAGTTTTGCTCAATATTTTTTATGGTATCTGATATGGGTTTGATTTCCAGTGATGCTCTGTTGTTTGAAAAAGTAAATTTTGAAACGGTTATTGGAAATATGTACTTGTTGCATGCTTAAATAAAAAGCTTATGCACTTGTCGATGATGCTAAAGAATGGCAGACCGTGGATCCTTTTTAATTTGTGCTTATTTCGTTTATTGAAAAAAAATCCACCCAAGAGTTGAGTTTTAGTCAGTACGAGTGTGGCTTTTTTAGATTGTAAACTTGTTGTGCAAATACATAAACTAAATTCAATCATGTGCTACTTGAAGCTAAGCAAGGTTTGTGTCCACCATACTTGTTGGACACAAACACAATCGCTACGCTTTGACATTGTGACATTGCTTTCATTTAGTAGAAAGAAAAGTACCTAGTATAGAAACATTGAAAGAGGGTTTTCGTAAAAAAATGTAAAAAAGTTGGATATAATATATATTTAAAACTAATTCCCTTGACACAGTGCAGGTTTCGTTCAAAGAAGTGGGGCTGTGAATTAGGGAGAAGTGATAATGATTACTCTCCATTGAGTATATAGCCCTATACATATTCTTGCATACAAAACATATGCTATTTCATTGATCTGTGTTTTGCAAATGCATTATTTCAAACTTGTGGTTTCTTGCCCGGTGTTGTCTATGCAACATAGCTCCAGCTTGTTAACTTGGAATCTGGTGTCCCATGTAATAACTTAGGCATGTAGCACTGTTTTGAAGAACTGTGGTATTGTTATTGACACAGACCTGAAATAGTGTAATGTTTGAAAAAGTTACCTGGTGTTGTCTAAGTAATTTTAAACTAATAGTATTACAAAATTCTAGGGGACTTTTAGAGTGACAATTCGCCTGAACTAGGCTGGATGTCCTTATTTGTTGCTAAGGTTTGCAAAGTATTTGGGGACATAATCTAAAATATTTCGCTGTCAATGATAAGTAGTCCCATTTAGCGGCATGATGCACCTCTTTGCTGATGTTGTTTTCGTTGATCAGTAGAAACTTAGACTCGTGGGTGGATTTACCTTGGGGCAAGTGGGGGCAATTGCTGCCATTGAGTTTGGAAAACTTCACTTTTATTCACAGTTTTAGAATTTATTTCCAAAGTTGCCCCAATGATATTTTAAAATTGCTCGCACTGAATTTTAGAAACTCCCTTTTTCACCCACGGTTTTAGGATTTGTTTATTGATTTTTTCATTAAATTTTAAAATTATTATTTTTACCTTTGATTTTAATTATTTTTTCAATTTTCTTCTTTGATACTTTATTTAACTTCCCCACTTATTTTAGGGAAGTGCTATTTGCGCACTCACTTTTTTATAAATAAACACACTTCATATTTTGTCTATAGTATAAAAAATTATACATAATACAATTTTCAATGCATGCACACGACAAAATTTGGACTGCAATTACGAAAAAAAAGGGATTGCGAATTTATTTGTCTTCTTTTATTTTTCTTTTGATTTCCGTCTATCTGTTTTGTTGTGTATGTCGTTGATTTGCTTTGATTGATTTGGTAGAATTTTGGAGTGTAATATCAAATAAGGAAAAATTTTGTTTACAGTTCTATGTAAGGTTTTGCTCCTGCTGACAAAAATCCTAACTCCTCCCCCGCCTAAATTGTGTTGTACAACATTTGAAACTTTTTTTGTCGGAAATAGTGTGGTTTTGTGTTTTGTCTTTTTCCCCTTGTAGGAGACATGTCTTGCCACTTCTTGCCTTTGTAACCTGTATTTGTGCTGAATGAAAATGCCTAATTTCGTGTAGTAAGTTTTGTAAATGATAGCAGGTAAACAAATAAGTTTATGTATTAATTAATTAATTATTATTATTTATTTATTTTTCCATTCTAGATTGCAGAAGGAAAAGAGGAAGAGTAATGGTGGAAGTATGGTGGTCCCTGTTGGGGGCTGCTATTCCAGCGATTGTTGCAGGGCAAACCTTTAGAATTAAGAGAAGGCGTACTGAGGAGCAGAGAATAAAGGGTGCTCGTGGAAGAGAGAAGACTTCTGATGATATATTTGTCTGTGAGAGGGTCTGTACATCCAAGAGAATGCTCAAGAAGGTTGGGTCCTTCTCCAAAGATCCAATCCCTGATACTTGTGTTACTGTTTGTGGTGTGTCTGAGCTCGATGCCTGCTCTGATGCCTGTGCTCGCACTGTCTGTGTCAACCAACATCAAGTGCCCAATTGGAATGACATTTGTCTTCGGAGATGTCAGAGTGAATGCCTTAAACTCTCTGCCTCTCGTGCTTCTTAGTGAGTTTTTTTTTTTTGGCCAACTTAAACTGTTGTTTTTGTGGAACATGCTGTTAAAAGTATGGTCTTTATCCCGTTTTCAAAACCAGACTTGGATTGTTGTGTTCTTTTGCAAGCTAGCATTGAGCTACATATTAATTTCATGATCTCGACAGATTGCTTCTCTCTGGGCCAACTTGTCATGTTTCTGTTTCTGTTTCTGTAATCTTGATTTGTGCTATTCTCTTTACTGTTTGGCATGTGCGAAGGGTATTCCATGCATCAATTTTTTGGTCTTTCACTGCTATTTAATTATTTCAACTTGCATCAGAGTATCTGTGTGCTTGATTCTTCCTTGTGTGCAAATTTGAGGTGCTTTGAGAGTATCTCTCTGGTTTCCCTTCATGTCCCAGTAGATGATGATACTGATCTCAGTACTGAATTTCAATACTATACCTAAACATTCTCAATTATTGACCATTTTAGCTCTCTCTCTCTCTCTCTCTCTCTCTCAAGGCATTTTAAAACTAACAGTTCATGGGGAGATTAAGGTTGTATTTGGATCATGGATTTGGGTAATCATTTGGAAAGGAAAAAGAAAGGCAAGGGAAATGGAGAAAATATTTAAATTATATTTCATTCATATTTCTCTCTTTTTTTTCTTTTCCTTTTCAAATTTCAATCCAAGACTATGATCCAAACACAAACATTAAATGAAGCCAAGCCTGTCAAAACCATATTAGATCTGTCTAATTGTAGCAGATTCTTGTGTTTTTGGGTAAAATTCTGATCTTAACAATAGTTTATTGTACAATTTCGTTAAGCTTCATTGAAATGTTGTGACCAGAAATTGTTACAGAAGTTACAAGCCAGAACTGCCTGAAACCAAACAACAGACTCAAAAACGGTACATCTGAGTCCTATATAAATATAAATAATTTGTCTTCCTTCTTATATATAAATATAAACAATTTGTCATCCTTCTTATAAAAAATATATATAAAAAAAATCGTCTCCCTATTATTTACATTGATGATGATTGAACAATAAAAAACAATTACTCTTTCTTTTTTCCTGTGTTTGCTTCTATACTGATATACATAATATTTACAATTATCCATCATAGATCAAATCATTGCAAATAAGTTTGGTTGAATCATAAATTGTATGAATTCGTTTGAATCTAGATAGAAGAAAGCGCATGTGTTTTTAAAATAGAGATTTGTGCTGCATCTCAAAAATTCGTAGGTTTTCTTCATATACTTTCTTTTTGTTTAAATTATATTTTATGAATTGTAATATTTCTCATGATAGTTTAATAACTTAGGTATGATGTCAAAATTCCAAATAAGAACCACTTTCATTGGTTTTATTTTTTAAATATGTTTTTCAGTTTTTTATTTTTCATATTTTCTCAGTTTTGGTGATTAAAGATACTAGAATTTCTTTCTATTTTATATTTAAATTATACTTTTACATGAAAATCTAATCTCTAATAATCTAAATAGAATTAAAAAGCAAAATATTGGTGAAATTTTTTATAAATTCAAACATGCACTATTTTTTATTATTATATTTTTTGTTTAATATTATTAACTTTTTTTTTCCAAAAAGAATTCACAACAAATAATTTTCTAAGTGTATTTAGACTAAGTGAATTTAAATCTAAAAGTAAAATTAAAAATTAAAAAGTACTAAATTAAGTGAATTTAAAAAGAAAATAAAAAGGGTTATTAAAAAAAAAAGTGTCAAAGACAAAAAAAATATGAAAACCAAAAAATTCAATACAAAACTTTGAAAAAATAAACTAAACCAAACACTATAAACTTATCTTTTTTTTAAATCTTTCTTCACTAATCTTTAATTTTATACAAATTATTCACAAATTTCTTTTAATTTTGAGTGACTTATGTGTAGGTCATAATAGATGGACTTATTGTCCAATAGGTCCGGTAAGAATTAATGGCATTTTTCATCAAACACTATTAAAAAAAGTCACTAATTATTAATTTTCCGGGACAGTTTGAAATTTGTCACAAAAAATGTCATTAATTATAAGTATTAGGTACTGTTTAAACAAATCGTCACAAAAAAAATGTTATTAATTTTCAACTTTAAGCAACAATTTGAAAAATTTGTCATAGAAAAAACGTAAAACGTCACTAATTATAAGTTTTAGCGACAATTTATAAAAATCGTGATAAAAGATAGTCACTAATTGTCAATTTTTAGCGACATATGCAAAAAATAGTCATAAAAAATTTAATTTTTAGCAGCGATTGTACTAGAACTTATTTTCAATAGGACTCGATGGAAATTAAATTCAACTATTATGACCTATTAGTAGTTTACCCTTCAATTTTTATGTGAATTTAATAATCTAATTAAAAAAAGAGTGATTCTACTTACACCACTACTTTACCTCTTTACACCCTCCATATGAGATGTTATTTTTTTATTGGGTGATTCTACTTGCACCACTACTTTATCTCTTTACACCCTCTATATGAGTTTTTTTTTCCCTCAATTTTATCCATGTGTGAAATTACCTTTAAGGACAAAATACTAAAATTAAATATATTTTGTTTTTTCCTTACACCCCTTGGTCTTTAATCCCTACTCTTTTTCCTTTATTAATTTTTCTTTTCTCTTACACATCTCATTCAAAAAGTGAGAATCATAGTATTTTGATTATTAAAGAAAGTAATGGATGGAGAAACGGTGGTGAAGAACCATCAAAAGAGTGAAATGGTGAGTTTTTTAAATTTATTTGGTAGGTTTTTGTTTCGTTTTTCTGGACTGGTGTTTGAATTTCGTTCGGTGGTTCAAAATCGAACAAAATAAAATAGTTCGGCATTGTATTGCTGAACAAAAAATATAAGTCCGGTAACCAACTACCGAATAAAAGATACATTTCTAGTAACCCCAAACCGATTTTTTTAAATTTGTTCGGCTTCTCATGTATTTTCAATTTCAATTTTTTTTTTTTATATTTTTTATTTTTTTGCTTGGAAGGATTATACTTATACTCATTGCAACAATGCAACTATTGCAATATTAGTGAACTCTTGTCATGAATTCATTACTGATGAGGTTTGTTAATTATTATTATTATTATTATTTTTTTTTTTATGAATACGATTTTTTCTTATTTTTAATTTGTATTAAGTTTTATTAATAATTTGGCGTATAAATGTATTTATTATTTTTATATTTTTAGTAGTCGTGAAACATTAATTAAATGGGCTTCTGACGTTGGGAAGAAGACTGGATTTGTCATTATTATAAAGACATTAGATGCGGGAGGCAATGACAAAAAACTATGACTTACACTTGCTTGTGAAAGAAGTGGTTACTATAGAGACAACACGAATATCAAGGGAAAACGATTGAGGCTGACAGGTTCTAAAAAGTGTGGATGTCTATTTCTATTAAGGAGAGAAAAATTACCTACAAATTACCAAGACAAATTATGATAATATGTTTGATTGATGGATGCAAACAATTACAAATTCATTGCACTCTTCCATGCATTCTCAAAATTAGAAATAAATTGAGAGTCTCAACAAGAAGTGCTCCAAGGCATAAGAAAATGACCATAAAAATAAAAAGTATGGAACTCAAGATACTTTCACTAATTTCATACATTTTTCATTGATTTTAATTAATTTATTTTTTTAACCTTTTCACCATTTCCAAAATACTTGTATATGCGAATCCCAACATCAAACAATGTTCAAGGAACACTTGTTAGCATTTATTGTAAATTAATATATTGCTATAGTTGAATTGTATCTGCAACTATTTGAGTAAATTGGAGGGACAATGTTAGCATGAAGTACCGGTAGACACCAAATCGTATAAATTGATATGTATTGAAATTTTGCAAGCCTATTTTCTTGATCGCATAGATTTTAATGTGGATTCTTATATGTGGTATGTCGGTGTTATGATGGCCCTAGGTTACATAGACGCATTATACCTGACCTTTTATTACATGTTCTTTGTGATTGGTTCACTCTACTATAAAGGTCAGGAAATGTATAATCTCTCTGCTTTATTTGTATATATATGCAAGAATATCTAAACGTGGCTATCTTAAATTTGTGACACAATGACTTGTACTGTAACACCTTGTCCCACATCGGAAGTTTGCATGGGTGATCTTAAAAGCACCACTACCTTGCTACTAAATAACTTGGACTTAAGCTTTTGGGTATTGTTGGTTGACCCACAGGTTACTTGGGCCAGCAAGTAGTGGGGCGTTACAAATGGTATCAGAGCCGATCCATGCACACAACCATGTGGGCCACTTATTTTGGGTTGGCCACGAGCTTGTCGTGGTATTTTGATTGATTATAGACCCTCGCGAGGGCATGAGGATTTATAAGTGGGGGAGTTTGTAACACTCTGTCCCACATCGGAAGTTTGCATGGGTGATCTTAGGCCTATAAAGCACCACTACCTTGCTGCTAAGTAGCTTGGACTTAAGCTTTTGGGTATTGTTGGTCGACCCACAGGTTACTTGGGCAAGCAAGTAGTGGAGCGTTACATGTACTAAGATTGCTTGAATTTTTATATTGATTGATATAAACAGATGTATGCAAGTTTCAACAATACTCATTCTTCTCATGAGATAAAGTTCATTCACCATATATTTGTTGAGTTGATGCAATTTAAAGTGCAGCGACTTCTAAAATGATAAATTTCCTCTAGATCAGATCAAAGATTGACGATGTAAAATCAAATCGTGCAACCCTACGAAGATCATTTATTTGTTGAATGATTGTCATGATATCTATCATCGGACTCTAGGGGTGAGCACAGATTGGTTTTGTGAGGTTTAGAGGGGAACCAAGGACCAAACACTACCAACTGTTCCTAGAAATTTGGGATAAAATCAAATTACAGAAATTGTGGAATTAAACTACACCAAACCTGTGGGAAATGGTTTGATTAAGCTTTGGAACAACTGTTCAAGACTTTATATTCTCAAATGTCAAAAATAAGCAAGCTAATTAGGTTCAGGTAAATAAGTACTATATTAAGAATAAAGCATTGAAATTGAAAAATATTAATAAAAAAAAAACAACTCTTCTATGCCGCAAGTCATCTCTTAGTATATTAATTCATGAAAACATATAACAAGTTTTAAGATTTGAGGTGAGTTGTATGTCCAATAGAAATCATCCCCCTTTCATTCATAATATAAATGCACAAATTAATACTCATGAACAGAACCATCACCAGTTAATAGATACAGAAGACTAGATAATAATATTTAACAAAAGGGACAACTATCCTTGTTTCAAATAGTTATCCTTGTTTGGAGGCGTTGGTGGTAATGTGGCAGTAGTGACGAGTGTGGAGGTTGTCATTGTGTGGTGGTAGTGACAAGATGGTGATGGTGGTATTGGTAGAGTGATGGCAACAGGGTGGTGGTGGTGGCGGCTATGTGTTAGCAGTGGTGGTGGTGAAAATAGTGGTAGTATTTATAAGACTCTAATGTCTTGTTAGGTCCAAAAAACATTTTTTCCTTTTAAAAGTGAAAAATATTTTCTATCAAAATCGGCTCATTTTTTATTTGACTTCAAAAAATATTTTCTGTTAGACTTTCATTTTCTATTGTACCAAAAGCTAGAAACCGTGGAAAACTTTTTTCACCAAAACGCACAAAGCGCTATGTACTCTGAAAATGAAGTTTATTGTGCAGAATCAAACAAGAATAAATTTTGTCCACTCATTTCATTTTCAAGATAATTTTCAGAATACTTAATAGTGTTTGAAAACCACAGCTGGTTGATCTCTGGCACCCACCTCTGGCCAGTACTTGTGTCAACTCACCAAGCATATTTCCTTATTTTTGTTTTTATAACACTAACCAAAATTAGTTTTATTTTTCCACTGCCACCATCTCCGTCAACTCACCAAGCATGTTTCCTTATTTTTGTTATCAAAACGTTCACCAAACTAGTTTTCTTTTTTTTCTTTTTTCCGTCATTTTTAGAAGTAAAAAAAAAAAAAAACACTTATTTTATGTTTCGTGTTTCCTGACAAGCCACCTTAATTATTGACTTTTGAATACAAAGCCAAAAGTCCAGTTTCATTTTCTTTTTTAACAAAACAAATCCACCTTTCATGGTGCTTGACTTGCGGAATTGTGGGTCAGATCAGGCCTTTGACATTTTTGTCGGTGGCCAGATTTGACTTGTGACAATTGGGAAGGACATTAATTCTGTTCCATATGCATGTTTTTTTATGATCTTGAAATCAATGTTCCAATTATATGTCAGGCAGCCACAAAATCAAAGTTGAGCGAAATCTTCGGTCGACAAAAGTCTTTGACAGCATACCAAGCAGAGATTATTAAAATGCACACAGAGAATTCAAAAACATAAAACACTTGAAAACCCTTATGGGTAATTTTCTTCATCTTGATCAGATCAATATGTTCATGATGACAATTAAGGAAGGAAGCTCCCAACAATTTGTTGATGTCTTTGTTGTAGTCTTTTTACTATTTGTGAATTCCCGTCCTGCATCCAGTTCAGGAGTTAAAGATGCTAAAATTTGGTACATAGAGAAGGAGAGACAAACATTACTCATCCTTAAACAAGGCCTTGTGGATGATTACGGCCGTCTGTCTTCTTGGGGGAGCGAAAAAGAAAAAGCAGATTGTTGCAGATGGAGAGGAGTCCATTGCAGCAATTGAACAGGTTACGTAACCATGCTTGGTCTTGGCAGCTTGCCTATTGCCATTCCTTTGAGAGGTAACATTAGCCCTTCCCTAGTTGAATTGCAGCATTTGAATTATTTGAACCTTAGTAACAATAATTTCGGAGGCAGTCGCATACCTGAGTTCATTGGTTCTCTTAGCAATTTACGTCACCTCAATCTATCTTATGCTGGATTTGGTGGAACAGTCCCCTCTCAACTTGGGAACCTTTCCAAGTTGCAGTCTCTTGATCTTAGTCCTTATGGTGGTATGAATGTCCAAAACCTTGAGTGGCTTCCTCATCTTTCATCTTTAAGACACCTTAACCTGAAAAATGTGGACCTTAGCAATGGTAAGGAGTGGTTTCAATCAGTTAATAATCTCCCTTTGTTGACTAGCTTGCGCTTAGGTTTCTGTCGGCTTCCTAAGATTGTTGTGCCTTCATACCTCAACTTTTCTACCACTCTTGCTATCCCTGATCTCTCTGGAAATGGTCTCACTTCTTCTAGTTTTGATTGGGTGTTCAACTTTAGCAGTGCCCTCATTGAGGTTGATCTCTCTAATAACCGCTTACAAGGTGTGATTCCCTATGCTTTTGGGAACATGATTTCCCTTGCACACCTTGATCTCTCTTCCAATCAGCTTGAAGGTGGGATTCTGAAATCTTTTAGTAATTTAAGCAGATTGCAATCGTTGGATCTGTATTTCAACAAACTAAATGATAGCCTTTCTACTATTATTCAAGTCTTGTTTGGGAGCACGGAAAACTCATCATTAGAGTTTTTACAATTAAGTAGGAATCAACTTAGAGGCTCGTTGCCTAACAACATAAGTTTTCCAAGACTGACAGATTTATATCTTGATCACAATCTATTGAATGGGTCTTTTCCAGAAACTTTCGGACAACCATTATGTAATCTTCTTGTTCTAGATTTGTCCCAAAACTAGATTACGGGATCATCGCCTGATCTTACCTTATGTTCATCATTGAGAGGGTTATATCTCTGGAAAAATCAATTCAAAGGGACTCTATCTAGAAGTATCAGGTAGCTTCCCAAGCTCGAAGTTTTGGATGTTAATTCAAACCATCTAGAAGGTCTCATCTTTGAAGCCCATCTGTCGCATCTCTCCCGATTGCAGTTCTTAGACTTGTCTCTTAATTCTTTGGTTTTAAAGTTCAACTCAGGGTGGATTCCACCTTTTCATCTAGATACCATAAGGCTGAGATCTTGCAAGTTGGGCCCTCATTTTCCAAAATGGCTTCAAACTCAATTTTTTTTTTCTGTGCTTGACATCTCTGCTGCTGGAATTTCAGCTACTATCCCCAGTTGGTTCTAGGACCTGTCTCCAAGAATGCGTTTGTTAAATATCTCTTATAATCAGATCAATGGCATCATGCCTGATTTGTCATTGAAGTTTACAGCATTTCCTGCAATAGACTTGAGTTCTAATCACTTTGCGGGTCCAATACCGTTCCTCCCCCGTACTGCAACATCACTGAATCTCTCAAAAAACAAGTTTTCAGGGTCAGTTTCTTTCTTATGCACAATTAAATTTGAGCAATTGACCCGTCTTGACCTTTCTGACAACATAATAGGCAGAGAACTCCTTGATTGTTGGATGTGATTCACATATTTGGATGTTCTAAACTTGGCCAACAACAACTTAACTGGGAAAATTCCTAGGTCTCTGGGCTCCATATCGAAGCTTAAGGTATTGCAGTTCCGTAACAATAGTTTCACTGGGGAATTGCCTTTGCCTTTGAGAAACTGCATAAACTTAATAATTATTGATTTGGGAGATAACAGAATATCTGGTACAATACCAACTTGGATAGGGGAAAGTCTATCTATGTTGGTTGTTTTCAGTCTGCGATCAAATGAGTTCCATGGAGGCATACCTACTAATTTTTGTCAGTTAAACAACATTCAAATCTTGGATCTATCTCTAAATAATATTTCAGGGACCATACCAATGTGCCTTGACAACTTTTTGGCAATGACTCAGACTCAGAGATTGATCCAACCAGTTATGTTATTGTTGGCTTTTTGGCTTTTCGAAGGGTATTTTTGTAAATGTGAGCGTGCCAGCAAGGATCAATCAGTCCTTACAGAAATTGTGATTGCCAACCAATTAAGCGAATGATGTGTTTTAGTTCTTTCAGCCTCAATGAAGAGGACTTTCGTGACTTGTTTTGGGAGAAAATTCAGAAAATTGGTCATAAAAATAAAAGAAAGAGGGAGAAACAGTTTTAGAAATAAAATCTCATTAAATAACCAAGAGTTTACGATTTGTATATTTGCACTTTCACGGCTTCGAAGGGGATTACAGCAACAGACTATCTTAAAACTACTCCTAAGAATTGGGAGTGCAGAACAAGAAAATAAAGGACTGAAAAATGTAAAGGACAGGAAAATATGAAGTAAAATAAATGGGCTTCTGGGTTTGGTTCTGGGGCCTTCATTATCAGCACTCTCCTC